AGTACATTAACTTTGTATGTTGACCCTCCACAGAAAGGCCCAGCTAACAGCCTCTAAAGTTTGTGAGCTTGTTAGCTGGTCGGCCACTGATCTGCCACCAAGCAAAAGAGGAGGACTGTTCAGGGAAATGTTTCTACTGTTTCAATTAGGCTTTACTTTAAATAGCCAAGGTTTTTTCTGGTGATCCCCAACCTCACTTTTGGCTTCTCTGAAGGGCTTATCACCTTGGGATGTTAAAGCTGGACCCTTGGAGTGTAAGCACATATCAGCACATTAACCCCGACTCTGACCAAGCATGCAGATCTTCTGCTTGTCAAGAGAACCCACAAGGTCTTGCTGCATTTCTTGATTGTAGTTACAGAACTGTGTGTGTCAACAAGGAAGTCAAATTTTGTTATTTTTCTTGAAAGTGGAGTTTCATGGCAGCGTATTGGTTTTAACACCCAGAACAGCATGGGACACTTAAAAGATGAAAATGTATAACTTCAATGGCAGCAGTGGAGTTCAGCCACAATGGTGTTACAGATTTTCTTCAGTTTTCTTAATACATATTTTACATAATGGCTATAGGGACATACACTCACACTATTCCAATTAAATCAAATTGACTTTCGAGTAAAGCAAAGCCCTAACCAAATAATTGGCTCAAGCGCAGTGTCGTATAACATTGCGCGTTCTAGCTCATTAAGTGCAAATCACATACACGTCACATTGCTGCTGACTGTTTTTTTTGTTTGTTTGTTTGTTTGTTTTTTTTTTAAAGGATGCAGCATAGTAATAGATTTCGAGTGAGGGCAGAAACCACATTGGAGTCATTGCTAAACCATCATATTGAACACTGAGGTTCTGTTTTGGTAAATGTACGTCATCATCACTCGGTGAAGCTGGTCGAAGCTGCAATATTTTGAAATTTCATCAGTGCGCTTGTGACGTGGAGCTTTAATCCTTCCTTTTTCACATAAAGACCATGTGTGCATTGGTTTTCCTTTACATTCAGTTTGTAATTATTCAATATTTTCCAGAACACCACATGCACGTAATGGCATCGTGTAGGAGCAGAGAACACCTTCAACAGACTCCTGTGCATTTTGCAGGTCTCACACAGGACAGATTTATGATTCACGATTAGCATTATAAGACCCCTTGCGTTTGAAGTTCACCAGCTAACGCTCTCCCTCATGCAAGTTTGAGCAAAAAAAAAAAAAATCACTTTAATTAATCCAGATGCAGTAACCTCACTGCTGGGTACAGCCACCGCACCCCAAAGTCCCCCATTCTCGTGTGACGATAATTGCACTGTCAAGGTCAGAGATGGTTAGGTTTCAGTACACTGTTCAAGTGGAAGGAATTGAATCAAAGGGCTCTGAGAGGGTCTAATCCCTGCACTGGAATGGCTTTGATTATGTCAGGGAGCAATTAAGCATAGGTGCGTGTATGTTTGGTCAATATATCAGTCACTGAGAGTCGCCGTGGCACATATGAGCACTTTGAAACTTGGGTTGCGAGGTATTTTAATGCTACATGGAACGCCTGAGCTTTTTCCCATGTTTTATCACGCACGGCTGAAATACAATTCGCGGTTTACACCTGCGATGTTCAAAAGGTCGAGTATAGCTTTAATTCAGTGGGATTAAATGGTCAGATTTAGTCCTTTCAAAATGAAAGCAGTTGTTTTGATAAGGATTTAAGCTTCAATGAAGCACGGCGATGTTGTTTAGCATCTGATGCAGTTAGTAGAAGTTTACTTCTGTCCCTCTCGCACAACCTCCTGACTCCTGGAAAAGAAATAATCAACGTGCAGCTCGGCCGCAGATAGTCAGCAAGTTTGCAGCTCTTAATGAGGGGCTGCTCGGAGGGTTTCGGCTGATGTTAATTTGTTTTGTTTTTGTTGTAAACTGTGTGTCTGTAAATAATGTGTAAATGACAAGTCGTCCTTGCATGCCAGCCGGGCCAGGCCACACACATGGACTGACACAGTAACACACACACACACATACACACCTACACACACACACAAATATACACACTCATTACAAACGAGCCCTTTCAGCGGTCCCAGTGATCGTGGTGCCAAGCTCTTTGTTTAGAATGCATTCATGGTTTGGTCATTATTTGTAAGCCCAATTTTGGAGGTATAAAAAAAAGGGGGGGGAAAAAAACTCCTTTCATTTTTAGTTCTTAAAAAAAAAAAAAATGTGGAAAGGGAGAACTTCGAATGACAGCTTTGTTATTTCTCATCAGCTGAAACAATTTCAGGATAGCCCACCTTGTTAAAGGAAAAATAGGAAAATAGTGATGGAAACAGAAAAAAAGGAGAATGGGCAGTTTTCATTGGATCGCTGACCAGTGTCGCTGATTTTCGACTTTGTTCATCATTAGCAACTTATTTTGATTATAACTCACAGCCAATTTTGATTTAAGTGCTTTAGGATTAAAAGGCTTTAAATGCAGCATCTGTCACTTTGTGTAATTTTCCAAAGCTGTCAATCTGACATTCAGAACCACCTCATGCTGTGATTGGCCAAATGGGCTGAGGTGAGAGAGTAAGCAACCTTTGATCTCCTCTCTCAAGCTGTTATTCTTTAGACAGCTATTTCTGTAACTTTTTTTTGTAAATAACGTGCAAGAATGTAAATGAAAACATATGCACATCTAATAATTTAACAATCATTGCATTTTATTATTTGTGTGATGCCTGGCTTTTCACTGGAGCAACCATAAACACTTTAACCTTCAGACTTTTAACGGATCATAAAAAGTAGTTCTTCTCTACCATAACTCAGCCCTGATGTTGTGAAGTTAGTTTGCCTGAAAAAGAATCTTGTTCACCGTACATCCTTGATTTCCATTTACTTGCATAATCTAAAAGCGATGGCTGACTCTACTGGTGCCAGAGCGGTCAAATCACTGTACGGCAAGTTACACAACTCACTAAACACAGCCAGGGCTTCTCAAAGACCCTGAAAACTTCTAAAAAAAAGTGGAGCCTACACACCTACGCACAGCCACACATGTGCAGCATACTGTATGTAAACATCCACACACACCCACATGTACACATATGCCTGCACGAGCACATGTACAAGCAGAAACGCACACATACAAACACTGCACGGCCGCAAGGGCAGCCCGCTCGCAACCGCTAATGCAAACATGAGTTAATATTAGCCGTCTATAAAATGGCAGGTCATATTTTTAAAACACGAACCGGGGGTCATGAACTGCTGCATAAAAGACCATCATAGTTGTGAGCTCGAGCTGCTCGGCTCCAAATATACCCCAGAGTCTAACTTCAGACCTGGATACGTGCCTGCAGGGTATTTTTGGGTCAGTGTTTACAGGTGTTTGTTCAGTGGCAGCAGTGCCAAGAGGTTAGTAGGATACCCACTTTAAGAAGTTCAAATACACTAAAGTCCATGTTGTTGAATTTATGGTTATTTTAACCGAGGATGGCCGGGAGCTAGGCTTCTTAGAACAGAAGAACATATTTAAGTCTCCTGAAGTGCAACATCTATTGCAGTTATTTTAACAAAGACCACACCTCAGAAAATTGTTCAGTCATTCATGTAAAACTGAAGTATGATTGAGTGTGATGAGATTGTTGGTTGGCTCAGATGCAGAATGGTGAAATGAATCCCAAGATGACGAGAACGTCAACAAGGGGGGGGAGGCGTCCCATTTTTAGAATCTTCAGGCCCCATAACAGAGACTTTTATAATACATGGGGCAACATTTCTTTATGGAGCATTTACTGTGGAGATGCAGGGCAATGATGGTGCAAGGTTCGATCAGCTGTTTTATCATCCAAATAAAAGACGTAATACTTTGTCTTGGTTTTAGTGAATGCACTTTACCCTCAGCAATTAACACCACAAATGACTGCGCCACTCACAAGTTTACATGTGTAATGTTCTACAAAGACGCCTTTCAATAACAATAAAAAAAAGTTTCCTTCACCTGTTATCTTGTCCAAATAGTGTTTGTTTTTATGCAAGAAGACACACCCTGAGTGGAATAAGCAGCCATGGCTGAGCGTTTCCTCCTGGAAACTGCAGTATACCAATAAGTCTCAAAAATATGGATTCAGAGAGCCAAGATTTTACACATAACAAACCTAACGAACCAATCCTGTCTTCTTGCAGGGTGGGAATTTCCATGTTTCTACTGTTCTTCTAAATTGGTTTCTGGTTTAAACATGTATGGCTAAATCTCCCCAATATTACGCCTTGCCATTGTGTAGCATAGACTCGGTTAACAGTGTTTCAGTCGAGTCGCAGGTCAGCTGGTGCACTCGAGTTACAGCGAATGACCGAGGGGTGGGTGGAGAAGGAGGTAGAGGATTCATAGATCCACGTATTCTACAGGTGAGGTGTCACGTTGAAGCTATTTGGAAGCCTAAGAGGATTAATTTTTATAGAGAAAGAACCTTAAATATTTAATTTTAATGCACAGAGATGAGTTTTTTTTAGAGGTTTGATCAAAGTCTGGTGAGTTTTGAGACTGTTCTCCAATCAAGTAGCTCAACCTTACAGTCAAATGGGCAAACCTGGTCATTTGAGGGGTTGTGCTTAAGTGTACAAATCCTCACCTTGATTAATATTTGATTTGTTCAAAGAAGTGAAAAGTTTAAATCCTGGCCTGTTTTACAAAATGTCTGATCATGAGTTAAAGTTGCTTTTGGAGATTTGGAGTCATTTTAAACCATAATTATGGGACAAAGGGAGATACATAAGTAGATTTTTTTTAATAAGGGGCAAGATTATTTCTACTTGTGCTACAGATTTTTTAACCAACTACTGCCCCTTCTTTGTTGCTCATTGATGTTGTTTACTGTGGGCCTATGTGGGTTAAGAAGTGCTCTGTGCTATATCTGTCTTCTCAGAACTGAGACTTCATCTTCCTTTCCTTCTGTCATCCTCCTCTCCTACCTTCATCCTTCTTCCCTTCTTCCTTTGTAGTTTTCCACTAACCTCAGTTTGTCTGCTCTTCTTCCTCTGCAGGTTCTCCTCTGTCCATCTTCTTGAGACTGATCCAACCAGACAAATTGCACAAAAGATCTGAGAAACGCAAACCATGGCTGTGGCCGGATGTCCGGATTATTTCCTGCATCATCCAAATTATCAGGTAAATCTCGAATTTCCTGTGTGTGATTTTCTTCGAAAAGGGTGAAATCTTCCTTTAATCCGTGTTCCTTTGCTATTTTACCAGCTAAACTGGTATTTGTAGAGGTGAAATGTTGCCATTGTAGACTAAAAACGAATTTCTCTGCTTAAAATTGGAAACCCAAAGTAACCTCTAAAAATACAGAAGCAATGAGTAAGAACAATTCTTGGAAATTCTAATCTGGATGGGATGTTGAAATTTGAACTCTGTGCCTGTGCAATCTAAGAACAGTCATAATTTGTTTTTGGTTTTTTTTTAAACATGGGATACTAGTAGTCATCCATCCAAGAACTTTGCAATGTTTTGTAGATTTGCTTCCAAGATTTCTAAGAAACAGTGAGGGCGTGGATTCAGCTCACTACAGTCTGTCTTAACAATCCTGCCATTATCAGCCTCTCTCGATCAGGCCGTATGTGTCTGTAGCCATACATCTGACTCACTGGCAATAGTTATTGTTGTTTGAGTTAGTGTTGACTAAAGAGAAAGTCAGTGAATGGTAATGACTTGGTCACAAGATGTGAACACACTGAATTCACAAAGAGCTGTGAGGGGATGCATTAACTGTTGGTACAACAAAGGTACAAAACTGTCTTCTTTTGGCAGAAATAGCCCCAAGTAATGGCTGCTGTTTTTATTCTGATTCTGTTAGCTCATACACCTACACAGAAACACATAAACTAGGACCTTTTAAATTGTATTGTATTTTTTGCAATTAGTATGTTTCTGGTAGCCCTGTGATAGACTGGTGACCTGTCCAGGGCGGCCCCTGCCTTCATCCTAAGTCGGCTGGGATAGGCTCAAGCCCCCCTGTGACCCTCGTGAGGATTAAGCGGTGTATAGATAATGGATGGATGGATAGTATATTTCCTTTTACTTAGTACAAATCGTAGTTCATGTTTTTGGCAATTGTGATGGCCAGGAGCTAAGGTTTGGGTAGTGATCACGGGTAAATGAGTAAATTTTCGGCAACATAAATGATCTATTTGCGTAAAATTTATGATTTATCTGTTTGTAATGTATTTTTGTTTCGCTATGCAATATCATTAACTACTTATTCTTAACTGTGGGAAGTTTTGTGTTAATTTAGGAGTTCTTTTCCTCAAACTGTGTGTCCTCAAATTGCATCCAACCGGATTCCGTCGCTATGTGCCTCAGTCTGAGTAGCTGCGGTTGAGATGTAGAGTCACACAGTGTGGCCAGTTTGCCTTCAATTTATTCTTAATTTGCTAGCACAAGATTCTTCATATGATCCAGATGCATATTTTTTTCCCTCCGTTTTCTTGCATGCAGTACAGCAGTAGTTAGAATACATGCTTTATACAAACAAGCTTGATTTATTACTTTACAAACTGAAACCCTTTAAACATCAGCTTGCATCCTGATGTGCTCATTTGTTGTTTGGTGAGCAAGGACAGACTTGACTTGTGGGCTTTTGAGGTTTTAGGTTCAGTAGGGTTTTTTTTTTTTCACACCAGCCTCCACAGAGCAAAGGGCTTCCAAACATTTGGATTAGGGCAGTAGCACTATTAGCCCAATCAGAAGCTTGTCTGTTGTCTGCTTGTCATCTGGGTCATGGCTTTATCTGTGACCTTTGAACTCAGAGAGAGAGGATAGAGTTCAGTCTGCCTGAGTCTCTTAGATCTTCACACCTTAAAGAGACAGAAACCAAAGATTTGCTTGAGGCACTGATTGTTTTTGTGTATTTGCATCTGCCGTAGAGTTGAGTCTGGGCCACTGGTGTATATTGTTTCTGTCTGTCGGCCTTATTTGCAATGAGGGATGCATTTATTAACAGAACATTATTTAAAGAGCTACGACAACAAAGATAAAAGTAGAATCAATTTAATATATAATGTCCAAAGACAGTGCAAAAAGAGAGCACTGTGAATATATGAAGGTTAATCTTCTCTCTGCTTGCCGCTCCCATTCTCCCAGACACATAAAGCCAACTTTAAGCTTAACATTTGTCTTGTCATTGGGATTAATTCAATGGAAATCAATTAGGGATTTCTTTTGGACAAAGACTGCTCTGACGCTGGAGGCTGGAAAGCTTTAATATCTTAATGGAAGTGAGGCATCATTTCGGTCTTTCATCTTTGCCAAGGGTTCGGGTGGGTGCCGCCGGAGCTACAGTATATGCAAGTTAATGTACACACCCAAGTGTACACTGACACACGCACACACAGAGCAGCACACATGCTCAGACACACTCACTCGACTGTTTGCAAACCATTCAGCTATAACAGATGTACCTTGACTTGCTGAATGAGAAAACCCATTCACTGTGAAATTCCTGGGTTATGGAAGATTTTCTCTGATAAAAGTGCAGCAGCAATGCAAAACAGATTCAACTGAAGATAACATTCATACTAAACCCAGGGGATTATATCACCACTTTAACCTTGTTTCACCATGAGTGGTGAATAATGATGTGTGTGTGCACAGCAGGACAGATCTGATGAGGTAGAAGAAGTTTGCTAGCGGCGGGAGGACTCATCCAGAAACTACAGTACCTGTAACACATTTTTATTTAGGCTCGATGCCAGTGTAGCTGGGCCTTCGTCTCATTATGTAAAACTTGACTAAGTCGCATGCTAAAATGCCATGTAAGCAGAACTCAAGGAGCCTCTGTATGCCAAAGAACAATACCATCATGTATAATCTCTCTGTATGCCAGTGTGTTCAGCCTGAGCAAGTCGATGTGGAATCACTGGATAGACGAGCATATTTGCTGTGAGTGAGCATGAGATGTCTGGAATAACTGTAATTTTAGGTATTGCAGGATTTTATTTGTTTAACTTGCATTTGTTGAAGGCAGATTTTACAATAATGGCGTCTCATTGTGGATGTGGTAATGAGGTTACTGAATTAATCCTGTCAAAGTTGAACCTGACTGTGATTACTTGCACAATATGAACGTGTGCATTCAGTCACCCTCTGCAATACCGCAAGTATGTGCAGCACAACATTAAAACCACCTGCCTAATATTGTTCAGGTCGCCCTCGTACCACCGAAACAGCTCTCACCCATAGAGGGATGGGCTCCATTAGACTTATGAAGCTGTCCTGTGGTATCAGGCTCAAAGACGTTAGCAGCAGATTAGTAATCAAGGAATTTGCACAAGGGGTCTCCATGGATCGCACTTGCAGAGTAGGCCACCTTGTTCCATTCCTCCAGGGTCTAGGTCTGACACTCACATGCTCATTGTAGGTACTTTTGGTGGGGGATAGGGGTACACAATGCAGCAAGCAACACAAGGCTCGACACTGTTGTTCTGAGCCACTTGTCTTTTGTACAAATAAATGTAAATAACACAGAGACACATTTATAAGCTCAGTTGATGAATTTTGTCATTCGGTTATTTACATTCGAGCCATTACCTTTCTATTAGTCTGACTCACCGAATTTAAACCATGGGTTAAGCCTACCATTGCTGCACAGCTCTCTGCTCCTGTGTTACTGTTTTCAGAACACAACAACAACATCAGCAACCTACATGCAGTAAATCTTAAGTTTTTCTAAAGATGTGGATCATGCAGTAAAGCAGCCCTGCAAGTTTTTTCCAGTGAATTGTCCTTTTTAATGGCATTACTCGCCTCCCTGCATGCAAAACAATTGTTCCATCACTATTTTGAGTGAATCCCGTCGGTGCCTCCTGTTGTCAGCACCACCCAAGACGTTTGTTTGTTTGTTTATTTTAACAGGGATGGCGCACAATTAAAAGTAATTGCACCAGAGGTAGCTATAGCAGCTAATTTGCATCTGTTGTCCCTGGGCACGTATGGAAAAAGACAACAGCCACAAAGCAATAATATACGACGTAAAGCAATACAAAACTTAAAAGTCTATCAGTAAGATAATAAATATAATAATAAAAAACAATAAATAAAATCAGTAAAACTGTCATTTGTTTATCAAAATACAGAGCTTTTTCTCCCCAGTAGCAAAATGGCGATGAGGTGCAGCCAGACCATTCTGCACAGTGAAAATAGAAAATAGTCTTGCTATAAGAGGCTACACCAGGGGTCAGCAACCTGCGGCTCCGGAGTCGCATGTGGCTCTTTCATCCTTCTGCTGTGGCTCCTTGTGGTTTTGGAAAATAAATAATGAGTATTTAATTTAAATGTATTTTATTTTAGCTCGTTAGTTTTTAAAATGTAATTCTAAATTTGAAGATTATGGTGATCTTGTAAAATTAAAATAAAACATGTTTATTTTTTTGTCACTCAAAATATGCGTCACAACTGCTGATGTGCGACACCTGCTGGCAGTAGTGTTGTCAACTTGGTGACTTCCTCGCTAAATCTGACGACTTTCCAAATCCTCTTGGCGACTTTTTCTTTGTCTGAAGTGACCAGCTACAAATCTAGCGACTCTTTATGGTGTTTTAGATAGTCTGATGTTAAAACACGTATCGTTCTACAATTACTGTCCTCAGTGAGCAGCGGTACTGCCGTGAGCTCCTCCTCCAGGCGGTCAGGAGTCTGGTCAGTAGTCCCAGCTGCAGTCAGCAGGCCAACCACACATCATTTTTATTTTGCTGCACGTGATAATTTAAGTTCAGCCTTTTATTTAATAAATAAGAGGAGAATTCAAATAGACATTGAGTATTATATTTGAAAGTAACCTTCAACCCAGCATCTTTTTTTTTTTTTCCCCAGAGTTAAAAATGCTTTTGTTGCATGCAGAAATAAAACTTTGTTTTCTCTGTAGCAGTACATTGATTTCATAAATGCAACACAGTGTAGTTTTTTTTCTACAGAACATAAAGATAAAAAACAATATATGCAGTGTTATCTTCATTTTAGATGTCCAAAGGGTTTTGTGGCTCCCGGTATTTTCTGTTCCGTGGGAAACGGGTCCAATTCATAGACTGTATAAGACAGTCTATGGTCCAAATGGCTCTTTGAGTGTTTAAGGTTGCCAACCCCTGGGCAACACATTTGTTAATGTTTCTTTT